CCCCAAAACCCCAAAACCCCAAAACCCCAAAACCCCAATACAGCTATTTTTAATTGAAATATAATAATTTCTTAATTTTATTTGAATTGAAAATGAGTGATCAGCAGGTAAATAACTCTCCTAGCAAAGAGGACAACAAGGAGGACAATCCTGCATCACAGGTACCTCAAGAGTCTAAAAATGAAGCTGGGCAGGATGATGCTGAGGAACCTAGCAAACCCCATATAGACCAAGATGAAGATAACCAACAACAAAAACAAGAAGTTAAAGAAAATGGCAACTCTAATCCTGAAAATAATGCTACTCCTGAAGGCCAAGATGACAAAGTTCCTCAAAAGCCTAAGATCACTAAGGATAAACCCAAGGCAAAACCAAAGGGAAAAGTTGTGAAACCTCCGAGTATCTATCAGGCTAAAAATAAGCCTGACGTACTTCGGAACAAGGCTAAATCAAAGAGAAGTAATATTAACAAAAGCAATAGGAGTAATTTGTCTAAGAAGAAAGCAAGCGTTGCTTCAAAACCCTCTAAAACTTCTGAGTCTAAGAAACAGAGCCAGCCAAAGGTACGGTGCCCAGTAATTTCTAGGAGGAGAAGCCAGCAGAAGAGGTGCTTAAAGAGAGCCAGCATGAAGAAAGCGAGCATAAAGATCATATGAATCAAGAAGATGAGCCTTCTCAACAAATGAACGAGGACATGCACAGCACCTTTTTGAATAATAATGAGCAGATTATTGCAGATTTAGCTAATCTTGAGATGCAACAAGAAAAGCAGATCTTCAGGATCATCTTCGATACCTTTAAAGCAAACCCTGGAGTAGCTGAGTTTGATGATTTAGCAGTACTAGGAAAGGCACTTGGAAAGGAAAAACAAGAAGTCGATGATTTTTGCCATCAAATCCATGACAACTTCGAAGGTTATCTGGACTTTGCTCAATTCTGAGAACTTCTTCCAAAACTTGATCCTGTGTTTAAACCTAAGGAAGTAAGCTCCCCACCTGCTGAAGGCGGACTTGAGGAAGAAAAGAAGTTAGAAGAGACTATTCATAATAAAGACGATGCTCCAGAAGCGAAAGCAGATATGAAAGAAGAAGAGAAAGCAGATGAAGACCAACAAGAGGTCAACAAAGACATTCCCCCTACCAAAAAAGAGAATCAGAATGAAGCTCCTCAAGAGAAAGAACAAAAGGTTGAGGAGGATAGTCAAAACCCTCAACCTCCTGAATTAGGAGATTATAAGGATAATGCTATTGTACCGAGTAATGGCGTTGCTCTTACACCAGACTCAAGAGTAGTCAAACTAATCAAGCAGCTCAATACTTACTTTAGAAATTGAGAAAAGGAGAAGGAGTTTGGAGAGGCTAAAATAGTCAAGCACAGACTAGAGATTCTTAAGAAGAAAGAACTTAAGAGGCAAAAGGACTATCTCCGAGCAAATCAAGAAAAGGAGCTAATCTCCATTGAAAACAGTCAAAAGATGCAATTCTTTGAGTTTTCCCAAGCATGGGACACTTTTATGTCCGACTATGAGTCTACTGCATATCTTAGCCTTGAAAAGCTTAAAGAGAGGCATTCAAAAGAAATGTCTGAGCTTCATAAAGAGCTCAAAGATAAGTTAGATAGCAGCATAAAATTTTCCAAAAAAGTTTATGACCTCAGGAGAAGAGTTGAGGTGCTCATCAACATGAGAAATTACGAAGAAGCAGACAAGTATAAAATGTTCCTAACTAAGTTAGAGAATGAAGAAAGGACTCAAAAGCATAAGGAATTAAAGAAAAATACTCAGAAGAAGGAAAAGAAGCTAAAGAACCTGCATCAGCAACAGATGGCTGCTTTGCTTAAAAGAATTCAAAGAGACAGAAATGAACAGCTAAAGCATAGACAAAAAGGTAGCTTCACCAGCTAATTTTGTAGATTCTCAGAAATTAATCCAGAGGAATAGGAATATTCTTGTAGATTTATTAAACAAGCAGAGCACTGAAGCTAGAAGGACCGGGCAGTTTGTTCAGTATACATTAGGATCTACTGATGAGGGACCGAAGAAATACTACAGAGCAAAGATTCATTATGCTCCTTTTGTGCATAAATATAAACATTGTCAGACTCTGAATGCGAATAAGGCAAATAAAAAGGCTGATAAGACAGGCACTCGCTGGAACAATACTTCTGGAGTGAAGAATGATCTTGAAGGTGCTGAATCTATCTCAGGCACTGATCATGGAGAGGACGATGAGAAAGATGCGATTAAATTACCTTTGCTCAAATAATTAACGTTAAGGAATATTCAATTGTCTCTGTGCATGATGGGGTTTTGGGGTTTTGGGGTTTTGGGG